CCCTGAGGTGTACATAGACCTTCTTAGGTCAGCCTTTAGAACAATCTCTAACACAAGCTGTATTCATCTTATCCAAGAGATGGCAGCAGAGACCGCCACAGCCCCCTGATTTGACCTCCAGGCAGCCAGGCACCTTTAAATCTCCAGACTAACAACATGCAAATCGCCACAGAAGAGTCTCCTTTTTAAGCAGGAATCCACAGATCCAGGAGACAGGCTTCCTCGTAGAGCTCTTCCAAATAATAACGGACAACTTCCAAACAATTTAAAAAAAAACCTTCAGAGAAAAATCATGAAATGGTTCATCTGCTCTTTGATTATTTTAAATCTTGGTCCATGCTGTGAGTATTTTTTTTTTCCTTTTAGGAAGACGTGTCCCGCCATCCCTGTTTGAATCCTCGTGCTATCCTTGCCCTGGATACATCACCGCCCCCAGGTTGGAAGGCCATACATGGGATTTGTCTGCCTGACTTTGCATTTGGGCTCTAGCTTGCATTAAGTGAAAGACAAAATATGTCCCAGTTACCCATGAGCCAGGCCAGCATCCATTCCATGCATCGGGTGATGTGCACTGCTGCCTACAGAAACTTAGTGCCGCAAGACATGAGTCTCTCCCATGGCATTGCAAAGCTGTTTTAAATGGGACCTTTTGTGTTCATTCTCTTCAACAGGTGTCCTGTCTGAAGTGCAGTTCTTCCAGCCAGGATCAAAGGTGGTAAGACCCGGAGACAGCCTCAGCCTGACATGCAGTGTCTCTCTTATTGATGAGATTCTGGAGTTTGAATATTACGAATGGGGCTGGGTCCGGCAGGTTCCCGGGAAAGGCCTAGAATGGATGGGGCACATCTATCCGCTTCGTGAGAATGCAAGTTATGTTCCCAAATCCCAGTCCCGTATAACCATCTCGGCCGAGCCTTCCACCAATGAGACCCACCTTCAGCTCAGCTCAATGACACCTGCAGACACGGCCACGTATTACTGTGTTGGACTTCCACAGTGAGGAGAGGAAGGCAGAGACCTGTACAAAAAAGGAAAAGGGGAAGTGGTTTCCCACCAGTCTCCTTTATAAGCTATATAAAAATCATCATGGGCATAACTGAACTTCCCCTTTGTTGTTCCCCTGTTGTTTTCATATATTCACTCAACCATTCCTTGCATGCCTCCTGAATGAGAGGTGAATTTCTAAAATTAATTCCGGGACAGATGGCAGGGACAGTTTTCAGTTAATTTCATTCACATCCCCCCCGCCCCCGTGCATGACCAACCTGCATTAGGTGCATGATAAGATAGTCCAAAAAACATGCAGTCATTTTGACGTGATAACAGTGTTCATGACCATTAATTGCATTTATATGGGGGGGGGCTCGTATTTTGCATGATCCTTCACTTCACACGAAAGAAACCCAATCCTGATCTTCCATTGCCCCCTGCATGTCAGAGTACAG